TTGTTTCATCTTTCAGCTCCGTAGCTCGAGTTTTCTGCGGTTGTTCCGGTCCGGTTATTGTTCGACAGTAGGATCTTCGGACAGAGATGATGATAGCATAGGGAATTTACACTATTGCAATTATCTACTATCAATGCACTTTTTTTTGCAAGAACCGACCAATATGCAGTAGTTTCTAGAAGATCTCCATCATATTTCCCCCATTATTCCTACATTTACCAGTTAAGTGCTTCTAGACGGTCTCCTAGATATTGACTTGCCAGCCATATAGGTAGTTCCTTCCTTCAACTCTTGTTTCGGTGCTTCACTGCAATTCAATTCTATGATTGCATTTAGAAGAGCTTGCGTTGTGTGCTATCAATATGAATGGAATTGTTGATCGTCCGGAGCGTCCTATCAGAATCATTTATCCATGTAGTCCCTGTCTGGTTTTGAGCTTTGTCTACAGGGTCTAAGGTGACGACTAATTCACGTAGCAGTAAGAGAATGCCTTATTTGGTTGGGTATGAACCTAAAAATTTGATTTTTTCTAGTTCGTGTCGCTTCACTACTCTACGTTCCCGAACAACTCTGCTACTCTCTGTTTTGGCCTATTAAGGACCTACACAAGGAAGGTGAATCTTCGTTGCTTTTTCCACCTTTTGGTTTTACTTTCATTCTTCTAGTACGTTTCCTTTCGAGTAGACACACTCTACGTTGACTGGTTGTCTGTCGTGACTGAGGAGGAAAAAAAGTCCCTTCTCCTCATTCCCTGGGAGGGAGGCGACTTTTCGGATAGGTCTTCAGCTCATACATTCGTCTTGACCGACGAGTTCTTCACGGTTTGTCTGTTATTATTTTCCTTCTTCCAGTCTACTGAGTCCGTTGACCTCGTTCTTTCTATTGTTTTATATTTAGAGTCACAAAATAGCAGAAACCCTTCCTGATCCCAAAGCAACATTGGTGAGTTCTGCAGCAACGCCCCAATTGGTCTACACGGACCTTGAGTTGGTTGCAAGGATGTTGACCAGTTCGAACTACAAGATCACCACAAATCGCGATCAAGCAGGGATCGTCTGGGTTCGCAAACACATTCGTGACTATGCGTGAGTGCGTTTGCTTTCTACCATAAACCGCATTTCTGGTAGTAGATAAAGCATAAGGTTCTACGATAAGCTTTGGATCTACTTCAAATTATCTTTTCCTGTTGTACTAAGCCCTCATGTATTTAGGAGTCCTCTTCCGTCAATTTCTCGACGGAAGGCTCCTCTAACGTCTTGCGATGCTAAGGATGGGTTTGGTGGACGATGATGTCACCTTGCACTGTTTTCCCATCTGTCAAAGTGCGTAGTTTTTC